AGAATATTATGATTAGAAACGTTGTCATTTTAAATGTGGTCATACCTTTTAGGGTCTGAAATCAGAATCTCAGCCCCCCTACCCACTTTTCATGAAGTACCCCCCCCCCCCCCCCCCCCCCCCCCCGGCACTTTTTCAATACCTATCAATGCTAGCTGATCCTCCCTCCGGTAGTCTAAAAAAGACATGTATTTCCCCCTAATATTCCCCTTCCATATGCGATACATCATCATCGGTCCCTTATCTAAAAAGAGTTAGCAAGTTGGTTTAGCAATTCGAAATTTCGTGATAAGAAACTGGTGCTTCCACAGTCCCTGGACCAGCTACTACACTCACGTTATAATAGCATTTCAGACCTACACAAAAAAGAACGAAAAACATTCCCTCTCAGGAGAAGGTCCGGGATAAATGTCAAAAATAGTCATACTCCCTTGACTTATCTTTGTTATTCAGAGAGATATTTCCTTTACTCTCGTAGTTGTTATGTGCTCAATCATGCTTGCGACTGAAACCGTTTCCACAGTGGGCAACTCTAGTCAGGATTAAAACTGTGACAACAGTCACATTGGTTGTGTCCACTGAATGGATCTAATACAGTCTTGAAACTGTACTCGACTACACACTTTAATAGTACACTCCAATTTTATATACAATCGCTAACCTTGATTCGGTTCAATTCAAACCTTACTCAACTCTGTAGCCTTAGTTGTTGTCAGCTCTAGTCAGTTTTCTAAATAAATTAATCAATAAGAAAAATACTGAATTAGCCTGTTTTACATAATGAAAGAGAAATTTTACAAAAAATAATTATAATAATGAGAATATTAACAGTCCACACGTGCTCTACGTCATGTGACCTCGGGCCTAGTGTGACTCTACTCGTTATTAATCGCCAACAAAACACTAAGTCAGATAGCAATAGCGCGCAAACTTCCGGCGTCCAAGATAACAACGATGCAATGGCAATGGCAAAAAGGCAAAGGAAAAGAAAAGGGGAAGTAACGGCAAAGGTCCAGCTAATCAGTGCTCAAGTCGATAGCCTAATAAAAAGATTTTTTTACAATATTGTAACGAGAAATATATTTTACTGCGTAGAAATTTTACCAGTTTCCCGTTTCCCGTTTCCCGTTTCCCGTTTCCCGTTTCCCGTTTCCCGTTTCCCGTTTCCCTGTTATAATGCATGTAATCAATGCATGTAATTAGCACTAATGAGTGAAGTTGCTTATTTAGTTGCTCTCGAAATTCGAAATTTTGCTCTCGAAATCTTTCAATGCTTCAAAAAGGTCATAATTCAAGATCTATCTGCAATAAATCTTTATCATTGAATGAGTTTGTAGTTGAAAATAATATTGAATTATTATGCGTAGCTGAAACATGGTTAAAATCGAATGAGTCGAGCGATCGGCTTATAATAAATGAACCTACTCCAAGTGGCTTTTCATTCCAACATATCCCTAGTAGTAGTCGAGGTGGTGGCGTTGGGTTTTTATACAAGAAGTCTCTCAAACTTAAGAAAATCTCTCTCAAAAAATTTAAATCTTTTGAAGTCATGGGAATGTCTATTCAGTCTTCTCCTGCACGTATTTCAATTTTTGTTATTTACAGACCACAGCCCTCCACTCGTAATAAGTTTTCAAGCAAAATGTTTTTTGATGAATTTCAGATATTTATAGAGCAATATTCATCTGGTTCAAACTCATTTTTCTTAGTGGGTGATTTCAATTTTCATGTACAAGACACTACAAATGCAGCTGCACTGCAGTTTCGGGATATTTTAGAATGCTTTAATTCAACTCAATATGTAAAGGAGGCAATATATCAAGGGAAACATGTTCTTGATCTTTTGATCACTAGAAATCATGAGCACATTATCGATAATGTTGTTGTTCGTGACCTTATCAAGGAATCTGAATCCCAATCTGGAGTGGGATTTTACTGACAGAGCATTCACCCAGATTGGATTTGTTTGCATCTCGCTTGAACCACAAGGTAGAGATGTATTCCTCGTTGAAGCCGGATCCCTTTGCCACGTTTATTGATGCTTTCACGATCCGTTGGGAACGTTACTCGTTCTATGCTTTTCCCCCATTTTGTTTGGTGGGCAGGTGCTTACAAAAAATTAGGCATGGAGGTGCCACTGGAATTCTAGTCGTTCCTGTGTGACCTACTCAAGCTTACTTTGCTTTTCTCTTAAGCATGTTGGTGGACATTCCTCGGCATTTGAAAGCGACACGATCTAGTCTTACTGGCAAGTAAGGTGTCAGGGAATCGCTTGTTAGCTCAGGATTTTCGACGGAAATTGCCAATGTTATCATGTCTTCCTGGAGACCTGGTGCCATTGAACAGTACAATGTGTTCCTCCAAAAATGGACTGACTTTTGTGTGTCAAGGCAAAGGGATTTCTGGTCTCCCCCTGTACCGCTACTCTTGGCATTTTTGCATCACTTGTACGCCCATGGTTGCAGCTACTCTTCCCCTAATGCGGAAAGATCTGTTTTTTCTACTCTGTGTGTGGGTCCGCACCCTAATTGTGAGAGCTTCTTGAAGGGAGTTTTTCCAAGAAAAACCACCGACTCCCAAATTTTCTGAGATTTGGCCCGTTGATCAAGTACTGCATTCCATGCAACAGGCAGCCCCTCTTGAGGCACTAAATCTGAAAGATCTAACCTTAATATTGGTCATGTTGGTWGCCTTGGTAATAGGACAGAGATGCCAAACCYTTTGTTGTTTGGTGATTTGGGGAAAACACATGAAAAAATACCGTACGTACTTTAATTTCGTATTGACTGGTCACGTTCAACAAAATAGACCAGGCCGAGTGTTTGGCAGTGTTCGTTTATTTCAATATCCTAACAAGGATCTCTGTGTCTACCCTACTCTGGAACACTATTTACAAATAACACAGCCGTTACGGAAATCCTCACAACTGTTTGTGTCTTATATCAAGGCCCATGATGAAGTCTCCTCCACTATCATTGGAAGGTGGCTGAAAACTGGCTTAGGCCAAGCAGGTATTGATATCAGCATCTATCAAGCCCATATGTGCTCGCAGTGCATATACTAGTAAAGCTGCTGGATTGCTTCCAGCTGCAGTGACGGATCCAGGATTTTTCAAAGGGGGGTTCCGTTTCTTAAACTGTGTATAACTCTCTTTTCTTTAGTCGATGTTTGACAAAAAAAAGGCTCTAATCACTTAATTTACTATCTAGTAACGGACCAAGCTATAATAACACGACCCAACGAAAAACTACTAATATTTTTTTATTCAAATTTATATAAGACATATTTCTATTGCCTAAAATATCAAACCTTCAAGGGGGGTTCCGCGGACCCCTTCGAACCCCCCTGGATCCGCCACTGAGTTGATGCTGTCATGAAATTGGCTGGCTGGTCGCAGGATTCCACATTTCGTAGATATTATGACAAAGCTCTAGCGATCACTAATCAAATGATCATGATTGATGCTGTTCTAGAACTGTGACATCATTCAAATAGATAAGAATTATTTCAATTATTGAGTCAATGCATTAAAAGAATGTTACCGATATTATTGTCTACAGTACTATTGTTTAACCTTTATTTAATACATACTCTTATATATAAGAGGTTTCTTTACTGGAGCCTTTGGGCCCGCAGCTTTAAAATCTCATGGTAACCCGGATGTACGTAATGATTTGATAGAATTAAAAAAAATTAAACAAGACTTACCTGGTAAGCTGAAGTTTGATAGTAGTTCTATCAAATCATTTATAGTACATCGGGTTAACATGCCCTCCCTTTTAGCTACCCACCCTTAATTTAAAGGTTTTCCTTACGCGCCCAAAGGATTTGAAAGACTGATTTGCGGCGGTGCGTGCGCATCTCATGTTAACCCGATTAAGTGAATTGTAGGGAAACGATGAAAACGTGGTCACGTTTGCCGTTTGCGGGAAGAAAAAACGGGAATCTTAATCTGCCTATTATATAAACACATGCATTCACAAACCGTCGCTGTCATTTAGTGAGGTGTACCATTCGCTACAAAGAATTAAGAAAACGGCAACCGCACCGGATGGTTCTCCCTTCTGGGCCTGGAAGGAAAACGCAGCCATTTTAACCCCTGCAGTCAAGACTATCTGGAATTTGTGATTATTTACTAAGAAATGGCCAAATGCGTGGAAAGAGCTATTGTGAATCCTCTGACCAAGGTTGACACACAGTTTCAAGATCTCCGAGGTATATAATACATTTTGTAAACAAGATCTAGAATAATACATTAGAAAAGACCAGTTTGCATATAGGACGAGCGGCAGCTGCACAAACGTGCTCCTCAAGATGCAGCATGTTATCTGTCAGTCTCTAGATAATTCCATGACAAAGGCTGTGCGCGTTTTTACCATGGATTTTTCCAAGGCTTTCGATTATGTTAAACACAGTTATATTAGGCCCGTAGCTAGGGGGGTGCAGGGGGTGCGTTCGCACCCCCCCACGCGAGCTAAAGGTCCGCTTTTTAAGCAAGTGAGATTTTGGC